GTACTTTTTTATAAATAGAAAGACTGAACTGTAAAATAACAATAAAAAGTGTAGTATAGTAAGTCCATACATGAACAATATAGTCATTTATGATCATTATCAAGCACTACAACATTACAACTGCTACAACATCACTTAGTGATAGGAATTTTCAGCTTCATTATAATCTCATGGGACCACAGTCATTGACTGAAACATCATTATGCATCAAGTATATGAAATCATCTCTCTATGGTCAGGCAGGTTGTTTGCAGTGTCCAACCGTTATATAACATTATAAGTGCTGAGCATCTTTGGGCCAGCTCACCTGGATATACCTGGGTAAGTGATCAGAATGGCTGGGTCACGTATCACTGAGGAAAGCTCATAGTCAGTGGTGGCAGTACTTCCTCCCACTGCCTTCACAGTGTCTGATAGTACTCACTGCCCAGGCCTCCATAAACACCTGTTTTTCCTAACCTGATGGGTAAAATAGTACACCTGTGATTTCAGCTCAGGCAGGGGTTGTTTACCTGTAATAAGCACTGTGACCTCAGTGAGCCACTATTTCTGGTGGGAACATCTCTACCCCAGGTTTGGGAGCAGGAAAAAAGTTGACTCCTAGTAGTCACAACATTCTTCATTGTTGTTATAAACAAGGAAGTATATGTTCCCACAATTAATCAGCAGTGGATAGAACCAGAGTCAAGGGAACCAAATTGGAGTACAGGACTTTTTATACTGTGCTCTTAAAAAACATTAGTTGCATTAAACCCATCTGTTGTGAATAAAATATGTCTCTTTTTCTGGATTTTGGGAACCAGGTAAGCTTGATGCTGAGAAATAACACTCTAATTCCAAAATACTTTTTTCTTGATTGTTTTTTTGGTTGGTGACTCAGCCTCCAGCCAGGAGGTAATTTCTGTTGGTACTTGTTACTGAATGTGGGAGCCCTGCTTTGGTGTCTTATGGAGCATTTGAGTCATCAGTTGAGAGGGGTGCAGTTGGACCCCTGAGGTGTTCATGTGCCTCGGGCACAGGAACGGGCTCCTAAAAAGGCAGGGTTGGATGACTGACCCTGTCACTCACAGCAGCTGGAGTATAGGAGAGAATTGGCACCTTTGTAAAGTATAAAAATTCAGAAACTCCCTTAGTTGTAAATGTGTCAGCTACAAGGTTATTTATAACAGGGGAAAGCCAGTGACAACTTAAAAGTCTACCTGTAGCAAATTGTAGACAAATGGTTAAGTCAATAATGATAAAGCCATACTGTAGATTATTATGCCAACTAACTACCTTGTAAATTCACAGTGTCATGTTTGTGTTAAAAATTTTAAGTAATTTGTGCACTGCCTATTGGAGTGTAACTTAGGAAATCTTTTTCTGGAAAAAAAACTCCAAACATGTAAATTTTAAGCATGATCCAGCAATTAGACTTCTAAGAGGTTTGTCCTACCAAGATCTTACATAAGTACAGAAAGGTTTAACACGGGGCTGTTCACTTCAGCAGTGTTCATACTAGGAAGTATTGGAGAGGATCCAACTATCCATGAACTTAGGGAAAAATACCTCAAGGTACATTTATACAATTATGTATCTTACAACCACAGAGGGAAATAAGGTCAATCCAGCCTCTCTGTCTATGACATGGAAAGACTTTCAAGGTGTTGTGTTAAGTCAGATGCAGGCAGAATGTGTGTGCCATCGGAGGGCTTTCAGACTCATCTGCGTACAAGTGCAGAAGAGAAAATTGCAGAGTATCGACACCAACTGTCAGCTGTGGTTTGCAGAGGAATGAAGGTTAGAAAGGACTTTCACTTTCTAATTCAATTCTGTAGTGCTCCCAGTGTTTTACAAAGATGCGTAGATCACACATTTGGAATCAGAAAAACTCAAGATTACTAAATAAAAGTACCAAGTCACATCGACCCATGCTCCTGAAAGGCTGGAAATTATATTGACAGTGTCATTCCAGTCTTATAAAAATTACATGTGAAGGACCTGGGAAGAACTAATTAGTCCGAACCACTGATGATAATTGCTCTGGGTAGATGGCCTGTGGAGGGTTTGAATTTTCTTGATCTTCTATATTTTCCAAGTGTTTTCCCCTTTTTTATTTTCTTTTTTCTTTAGTGTTTTTATTAAATGTGAATTAGATTCACATTTAATTGGAAGAAAAAATTTATCAACTCTACTTTGGAAAGATTAAAAAGCTCCAGCAAGGAGCTCTGGGCAGTGTGTGCATGCGTGTGTGTGTCTGTCTCTTTTTCTTAGAAGGCACAGCTCCTGTCCTGTCTTCGAGCAGGATCCCAGTGACAGGGCCCAGGCAAGGGCATGGGTGGGATGCTGTCCTGTTTAGACTGAGTCTGTGGGAGGCAGGACTCCTGTATAACTGTTCTGGATGGCTGAGGGATTACTGTATGGAGGTAGTGAGAAGGTCTGGAGTCAGAGTGGGCCTGCCATGCCCAGATAGTGTCTAGCACCACAAGCCTCTTCTTGTGCGTGGCTCAGGACTGTGACCTGGAAGGGAATTGTGGTCTCTCTGATTCTGGGGTACCGCAGGGCAAAAGTTCGAGTTCTTCAGGAAAGGAGGAAGAGGATCACCCAGTGTGGGTGTCAGGAGTGCTTGTTTGGTGGGGACAGAGAGGGATTCCACTTTGGGATTATATAAAAGCAATTAAATGAGGTTTTTAAAAACAAAAAATGGGGCTTTTTTGAGACTTGGTATTGTTTTGACCATAAGACTTGAGAATCAGAATTTTCTGTTTTTCATAATGTGCCTTGGTCATCTTTCCAAGTAGCTCTGAAAGAGCCCTGGTTCTCATCAGTTTTGAAAGTTTTGGATGATGTTATTAGTCATCACAACTGTGACAGGAGCAGGGGAGGGCACTGCAGGCACTGGATTTTCCACATCCTCAGGTCATTGGCACTGTCACAGAAACCTGTTTGTAATTATCTGAGCCCAGAATTTAGTGCTCTGTTAATGTAAAGGCAACCTATTTTTTGTGTGGTTTTTTAAAAAGATTTTTTGTTTATTTTTTAGAGAGAAGGGAAGGGAGGGAGAAAGAGGGGGAGAGAAACATCAATGTGCAAGAGAATCATCAATTGATCAGCTGCCTTTCATGCATCCCCCAGCCAGGGACCTGGTCCACAAGCGAGGCATGAGCCCTGACAAGGAATTGAACCAGTGACCTTTCAGCTCACAGGCTGGCACTCAACCCACTGAGCCACATAAGCCAGGGCTTTTGTATGATCTTAATACACTCTGAGTTTAGAAGGTCATGTATCTCTGAATTTCATATAGGGTAGTGAATGTGGTGCATTTATAATTTAGATAACACTTTTAAGTTCACTTTTATACAGTCACAACAATAATGCCTCTCGGGTGTATGTTTACACACTTGTGTTCGTTTTTCTGTAGGACACACTCCTAGATTTAGAACTCTGAGTGAAAATAAAGGAATGTATTTCTCATCTTCTTACATTGCCAGATTATCTCTTAAAGGAGGTTAATGCCCATGGGCAGTGTGTCAGGGCACTCGTTTCCCCACACTCTGGCCAGCACTCACTATTAGCAGTCGTGAAAATGTTTGCCAGTCCGAACAGTGGGGATGGGGGATGATATCTCATTTTCATTCTCAACATTTTTTAAAATTATATTTTATTGATTATTCTATTACAATTGTCCTGATTTTTTTCCCTTTTTACCCTCCTTCACCCAACACTCCCCACACCCTCAGGCAACTCTCACACCATTGTTCATGTCCATGAATCATGTGTATAAATTCTTTGGCTGCTCAATTTTCTATACTGTACTTTACATCCACATGGCTATTCTGTAACTATCTATTTGTACTTCTCAATCCCCTCACCTCTTCACCCATTCCCCCACACCACACTCCTATCTGGCAACCAGCAAAAAGCTCTCCATATCCATGATTCTGTCTCTGTTGTTCTTGTTTGCTTAGTTTGTCTTTTAGATTCAATTGCTGAATATATACATATAGTCATTTTATTATTCATAGTTTTGATCACCTTCTTTTTTTTAAATAAATCCCTTTAACATGTCATATAATAATGGTTTGGCAATGGTAAACTACTTTAGTTTTTTTTTCTTTTCTGGGAAGCTCTTTATCTGTCCTTCGATTCTAAATGATATCTTTGCTGGGTAGAGAAATCTTGGCTGTAGGTCCTTGCTTTTCATGATCTTGAATATTTCTTGCCAATCCCTTCTAGACTGCAAAGTTTCTTTTGAGAAATCAACTGACAGTCTTATGGTAACTTCCCCGGAGGTAACTAACTGCTTTTCTCTTGCTACATTTAAGATTCCCTCTTTATCTTTAACCTTCAGCATTTTAATTATGATGTATTTTGGAGTGGGCCTCTTTGCATCCATCTTATTTGGGACTCTCTGTGCTTCCTAGACTTGTATGTCTATGTTCTTTATAAAATTAGAGACGTTTTCTTCCATTCTTATTCTTTCTCTTCTCCTTCTGGCATCCCTATGAGGTAAATGTTGTACCTCTTGAAGTTGTCCCAGAGGCTGCTTATACTATCCTAATTTTTTTTACTCTTTTTTCTCTTCTTGTTCTACACCTTATATTCCAGATAATTGATTTGATTCTCAGCTTCATCCACTCTACTGTTGTTCTCCTGTAAATTGTTCTTTATTTCAATTAGTGTATCCTTCATTTCTGACTGCATCATTTTTATTCTGTTGAGGTTCTCACTAAATTTCTTGAGTATCCTTATAATCAGTGCTTTAAATTCTGCATTTGATAGATTGCTTATCTCCACTTTGTTTAGTTCTTTTTCTGGAATTTTGATCTGTTCTTTCATTTGGGACATGTTTCTTTGTCTCTTAATTTTGGCAGCCTTCCTGTGTTTGTTTCTATGTATTAGTACAGCTGCTTTGACTCCCTGTCTTGATAGTGTGGCCTAACATAGTAAGTGTTCCGTAGAATCCAGGCCACAGCCACACTGTTTCACCCCTGGTCTGACATGCCCTTTGCCTTCTGCAGGAAGCTTGGAAGCATGCAATTGAGAAGGCCAAGCACATGCCTGACCCCTGGGCTGAGTTCCACCTGGAGGACATTACCACTGAATGTGCTACACGTCACAGGTCAGCAGCTTGTCTGGGGTTGCTATAAGGCCCCAAGACTCAGGAGTCCTTGAGGTGTGGGTCCTGCTTCCTCTGCTTATAATCAGTGAGGCCTGAGTGCCCTTGATTATCAAGGAGAATGGAATAATAATAATAATATCAGCCAATATTTGAGTGTGTGTACTTCAGGTATGCACTGTCTCATTTAATCCTCACCATGGTACTGTAAGGTATGAATGTGATAGGCTAGGCTGAGTTGTGCTGCAGTAACAAATACCCCCAGGGCTTAATGCAACAAAGGTGTGTTTCTCACTCAGATGAAGGTGGGTGGGAATTGAGCAGTTCTTCAGGGTGACTTTCATCTTGTGGCTCCATCATTTCAGGATGAGACCCTAACTAGTGCTATCAGAGGGAAGAGCCTGAAGGGTAGCACACCAGCTTTTCAGTGCCTTGGCCCCAAGAATATTCACAAAAAGAGTTGGGAGTATCTAATTTCCTGTTTTTAGGGGGTTTCAGAAAGAAGAATAAAAACAAAACAAAATAAATGCCACCACTAATGTAATAAGAATGATGAAGACAGTAGTGATGAGGGACTTTATTTATTGAATCTTCCATGTGCCAGGCACTGTTTTAAGCCTTCTATATGTATTTCATCATTAAGAAAAGCCTAGGTAAGAATCATGTCAGGCATTTGTCATCCCTTTTAAGGATCCGATGAGATCCATATCAGAAAATTGCACACATATATCTAATTTTGCTCATAATGCTAAAGGACTCATGGATCTATTCTGAGCCCACGCCTGTCCCATGACTCTGTAGACCCCTCCATCTCTGAATGATCCAAGCCAGTCCTCTCAGGAAGAGAGGGGTTTGCCAAGGATCACCAGGTAGTTATTGAGTGGGTCAAAAAGTCCATATGGTTTTTTCCATAAAATAAAGGACATAATTTTTTATTTCCACCAATAACTTTATTGATTTGGATATTTTGAGTATGTTGGCTGTCTCCCTCATGGTATAACATTGATTGTCTTCAGTCAGTGTCCCAATTTCGCTATCAACTCTGACTGGTCTACCTGACCTTGGAGCATCATCCAGAGAGAAATCTCCACCATGAAACTTCTTAAACCACTTCTGACATGTTCAATTAGTCACAGCACCTTTTCCATGCACTGCACAAATCTTTTTTTGAGTTTCAGTTGCACTTTTAACCTTTATTTTTTTAAAAAAGATCTTATTTATTTATTTATTTTTAGAGAGGGGGGAAAGAAGGAAGAAGGAGAGGGAAACATTAGTGTGTGGTTACCTTTCTATGCCCCCCACCAAGGACCTGGCCCACAGCCCAGGCATGTGCCCTAACTGGGAGTTGAAGCAGTGACCCTTTGGTTAGTAGATCAGTACTCAATCCACCGAGCCACACCAGCCAGGGCACATTTTTTCCTTTCTTGAAATAATAAAGCATAATATGCCGAAAATGTTGCTTATTTTCTTCCATTACCAATATTAAAATGACTACACAAAAATTACCAATTTGATAAGGTTTTTTTTTTAAGATTTTATTTATTTTTATAGACAGAGAGGGAGAAAGAGTGGGAGAGAAACATCAATGTGTGGCTGCCTCCCATGCACCCCCCACTAGGGACCTGGCCCACAACCCAGGCATGTGCCCTGACCAAGAATTGAACCAACGACCCTTTGGTTTACAGGCTGGCACTTAATCCACTGTGCCACACCAGCCAGGGCATACATTTTTTTTTTCTTAATGTACACTGATATGACAGCTGTCGCAATACAATCTAACAAAATTGTTTGGAATGAAGTTAAAGACAACTAAGCACTACTAGGGCCACCATATGGAAAAAAACAAATGAACTTTAGCCAACCCAATAATAAGCTAACCTTTTGACTCAGTCCAGTCAGTACCTTCAAAGTAGTCAGAACTCGGTTTCAAATGCAGTAGCAGAAACTGAATACACAGTGGCTTAAGGATAGTGGGGAATGTTTTGTTAGTGTACAGGGTGGGGCAAAAATAAGTTTACAGTTAGTACATGAAGCTCGGAGTTTATTCTTGTATTATTTATTAATTGCTGTGTTATTTTCCATACAAACAACTATAAATCTACTTTTGCCCTACCCTATATGTAGATTTCAGGTATGGCTAATTCCAGATGTTCCAAGGATGCTTTCAGCTATGACCTCAAACATAGTCTCTCATATCAGTGGCAGACAGTGCCCCTGGGAACTCCACATTTCATCTCACGCAGTGGGTATTTTATCAACTTTTTAAGCAAAAGTTCCATATATGAATCTCATTGACCTGGCTTTGGTTATATGCCCATCTCTAAACCAGTCATTGTGTCAGGGAATGTTGCTCTGATTGGCCAGGTCTGGTCATATACCATAAGCCAGGGTGCTGGGGATCAGCCCCACCCAGTCCACATATTCCGAAAATAGAGAACAGGGTTTCCCAAAGGAATATTCCGGGGTGCTGTTGCCAGAAGAAAAGGGAGTGGATGCAGAAATACTGGAGCAGTCCCCGCCTTTCAGCAACATGCTCCTGCTCTCTCCCTGTGAAGAGAGGCTAGATCCTGGCATGCACCCCTTCCCACCACTGGCGGCCCACCCTCTAGTGGGCTCTGGGCTCTGTGCCAGCAGCCAAGGTCAGCATTGTGGGGGCTCTTGCAGGGGAGGGTGTAAGTTCTGTTTCTTCTCACCTATAAAGGCAGCATGGTGGCTGACTGGTGACACATGGCCTCCAGGCAGAGGTAGCCTCCAGGACCCACATGCTGGGCTGGATCTGTGTGTCTTAGCTCTGCAGGGACCTAGGACCAGGCACCAAGCTGACCTGTGTTTATTTCCTAACCAAAGTATCTGCTGCCTGCTACTGGAGGGCAGTCAGGCTAGATGGCCAGAGTTTCCAGAGGTTTCGAAATTGGGGGCTTCCACGTGTATTCTTGGTTTTGAAAGAGCACTGATGCCAGCTGGCTGTTTAGGGCAGATTTCCTGTTCGTGTGGGTTGTACACAGGCTGGTTAAGAGCAAGGTTCTGGTTGAAACCAATCTGAGTTTGAATCCTGGCTCTCAGGCAGGATTCTTCACCATTCTTAGCCTCAGTAACTGTGCCAGTCTCATAGGGCTGCTGTGAGGGTCGGTTGCAGGTACTGGTTTAAGCACCCAGCATACAGTGAACACTCAGCCCTTTGAGCAGCTCTGTCCTTTGTGATGTCAGTGGTCTTGAAGGACAAATATGATGCTACATACCCCCACCCTGCCCCTTCCAGGTGCCCCTCAGTTTTTAGTCTTTTTTGAAGGTGAGGAAAGACTATTCCCCTTACTTTGGTCTCTACATAGTAATAATAATAATCATTGCTGTTATTTATCAAGCATAGTACCTGGAACAGGCTAGTGGTGAGCCTTCCTCCTGTCAGGCCTGAGGGAAGCTACCTCTGCCATTCTTCCTCATGGAGGTTTCAGGCTCTGAGAAGCTGTTCACACTGGGATTGAGAGTATTCTCGAGTCTGTTTCCCCTGCTTTGGGGAGGTCTAGGGAAGTTTCCGCTAGAGCTAAGAACACTTCAGTCCTGGGGGACATTTTACAATAGAGATTTACTGAGCCTAGGTGCTTTCCACCAGGCACAACTGTTTGAGACTCAGCCAGGCCTGTGAGTTCAGCCGGGCATATAAGCTAGGGAGAGAGGATTCCTGGGAAAGAAGAGACAGAAATATTCTGGAATCCTTTCCATCTCTCTCTACTTTGGCTGTTCATACAGCAGCTGGCTGCCTATGCTGGACAGTTACCAGGATATGCACCGGCTACCTGGGCTTGGCTGCACATAGGTGCCTGGTAAGGTTGAGGACACTGCCACCCTCTGTCCTGGGACACATCATTTGTTATGTAGCCCGATTATAATAAGGATATTTACTTATTCAGTAATTCATCCAGTGTGCATTTGTTAAGCATTCCCACACACACCAGACCTTGTAGTGAACAGGACAGACATGGGCCTGCCTGTGTGGTCTCAGTCCGGGGGAGCCCACCCACAGCACAGCAGTGAGTGCTGGGAGCACACGGTGGACAGGCACCCTGTGTTTGAGGAAGGGAAGGAGGCTAGTGTGCAGGGAAAGTGTCCTCAAACGCAACCCAGGAGGTCAGCTGGACAACTGAGTAAATAGGCTTGATCCATAGGTAGTGGGGAGCCTTTAGCCAGTAAGTGACAAGACCAGGTGATGAATGCTGCACCCTGTGGTGGGTTCTGGTCTCCACAGGTACAATGCTGTCACTGGGCAGTGGCTGGAGGATGAAGTTCTGATCAAGATGGCATCTCAGGTGAGTAGATCTTCTAGCCCAGAGGGGCAAGACTGAGCAGGGTTTTCTCGAGCTGATTTCAGTTCATGTTCCCTCTCCTCCAAACCCACTTTATTTTTACAACTTTTGGGAATTCTTTACAGTATTGTATATGTAACTCTTTATAACAGATTTATTAAACTCTAATTCACACATCATACAACATACTGATGTGAAGTGTACAGTTCAGTGGTTTTTAGCGTGTCACAGCATTGTGCAGCGATCACCACAGTTGATTCCAGAACATTTCACTGTCTCCAAGAGAAACCCCACACATAGCCATTATGTCAGCACCTGGTTACTTTCTCTGTGCCCAGCCCTGGGAAACCACTACACTGCCTTATACCTCCATAGATTGCCCTATTCGGGTCATCCTATATCAAAATACCCTTCTTGGCACTGCTATTGAAAATCAGTTGACTGTAAATGGCTATAGTTTTCTAAAATTGCAGGTTACCACCTATTGCTGAGTTGTAACATGAATTTAATGGCTAGCCACCAGCCTTTTGAAAAAAGAAATAGACTAGAAAATAGAGGACTTCCTGCACTGTGAGGGGGAGAAATGTTTTGTGAAACTTCCATTAGCGTATTGCACAGGCAGAAGAGCATATAGAAAGTGGGTTTCATGGAGTGAACACACATGTAATCAGCACTCAGAGCAGGACACAGAGTGTCACCAGCACCCTAGGAGCCCCTCAGCCCAGTCACTACTTTTTTATACCTGAGGGTCAGCACCAGCCTGAATTTTGTCACCCAAGGTCAGTTTTGCCCACTTTTGTATCTCATATAAATAAAGCCATATAATAGGTGTGCTTTTTAGTATGGTTTCTTTTGCTCAACATTTTCTCTATGAGCTTTGTACATGTTTTTGCTGGAACTGTAATATTTTCATTCTCATTGCTATGCAGTATTTCGCCAAATGAATAAATGTAATTTATTAAGTTATTGATGGACATTTGGGTTCTGTTACAGATGGAGCTGTAAACACATCCCTTGGCACACACTGTCTCCCCCACTACATTGCTCCCAGAACGTCATCACCCCCAGGAGTTCTTCCACTCAGCTGTGGTCAGAGAATGGGGTGCTCTTATTCCTGTAACCTCCAGGCTTCATTGCTGGGGTATAGCAGGGAGGGTCAGAGATTTTAGGCTTGAGATGAGGTCCACTTGGTGGGTGCCATCCAAAGGAGAATTGTCCTTTTGACTCAGGGTTGATTCTGGGTAGAGCATGGGGACTGACAACCCCTTCCTTGTGGTGTCTTTCAGCCCTTTGGCCATGGAGCAATGAGGGAGTGCTTCAGGACGTAAGTGACAATCTGCTCTGAGGGTCCTGCCCAGACTCCCTCAGGCTTCTAAGAGCATAGTTCTTGTGACATTTCTGGCCTGGGAATGGAGTCCGTGGCCTCTGCTTCTTGTAACCCATGTTCCTCTCCATCTGGTCTCCCTTGGATCACATGTTGGGCCTGTCTGTGGGGATAAGCTCTGGGAGAACAAAGAGTATCCTACTCATCACCACTCTGGTTCTTTGAGGCCAAGGGGCTCGAAATAGGAGACCTTTACTAGTATCCCTTAAGTCCCCTACCCAACTCTGTGAAGCATGCTGTGCAATAGGGAACCCCTCCCACCTCCTGCAGCTTGTTCCTGGCTCAGCCAGGTGTCCTTGTCCTGAGGATTCAGGGCTGGATCCCTGGTGAACCCAGTGCCCAGGCAGGCTCCTTGCTTCTTCTCTTCCCAGGAAGAAGCTCTCCAACTTCCTGCATACCCAGCAGTGGAAGGGAGCCTCCAACTATGTGGCAAAGCGCTACATTGAGTCAGTGGACAGGGACGTGTACTTTGAGGACGTGCGTCTACAGATGGAAGCCAAGCTCTGGGGAGAGGAGTATAATCGGCACAAGCCCCCCAAACAGGTGTGTGGCACTGTCCTTGCCACCTGCCCCCACCAGGGCAGCCAGGGGCAGTGTCAGGAGATGAGGGGGATGACGGTGGTGCCAGTCACAGGTTTTCTTCTTCACCATATTAACTATAGTAGCTACTAACAACCACCATTTATCAAGCACAATGGACCAGGTGCAAAGAGTTCTTTATTCCTGAAAACAAGAGTGTTCGGCTTGTTTGAGGTGGGTTGGAATGTTTGCATCCCATTTACAAGTAGGATCTAATAGGGTTTTTGTTTGCAAATGACAGAAACCCAAAAAGGGAATATAATCCAAAAAGGAAATGTATTGTTTAGTGGGACTGAGAAATAGCACCGACCACAGGCATGGCTGGGTCCAGGACCAAGCTGAGGTTGTTGGGAATTTTCTTCCATCTCTAGCTTCTGTGCCCTTCTGTGCTGCCATCACTCCCAGGCAGCTGCTTGGCTTGCTGTGGAGTGTTGGCCCCCAGCAGCTGCAGCCTTGCTTTCTGTCTTCTCAGCAACTCTGGCAAAGTAACACCTGTTTCCTCAGAAGTGCCGGTGAAAGTCTCAGAATTGGGTTTCATTGGCTCTGACAGGTGCCTGTCTCTGAGCCAAACACAATGAATGGCCAGGGGAAGGGGACATGCAGATTGGGCAGGCCTAAGCTATGTGCCTACCCTTAGAACTAGGAATGTGGATCTTCTGGAGCTGAAATGGTGGTTTCCAAGAAAAAGCAGAAGGAGAAGGGAGGGGGTTGGATATCTTTTCCTGGGGAAACCAGGACCCAAAGGGGTTAAGTGAACTGCTGTAACAGGCAGAGATGGAGCCAGGGCTCAAATCCAGACTTTCCAAACACCATCCTGGTTGGTTTCTTCTATTTTGCTGCCAGGGTATTGAAATAGAATTTCCTGTTGCCTTCGAGGAAATTCTATTTGGCATTTGAGGAAATGGCACCCCAGGCCTCTGCCCTGCCTAAATCCACAGCTTAGCTGGCCCACTGCGTGAGTACCTACTAGATACAAGGCACTGTCCTGAGTGCCTCAGGAGAGCCACATTTCTAGGCAATCAGCAGAATTCATTGAGCATCTGCTGTTTGCAGGACCCTTAACTAAGTGCTCTTAAGATGAACGCAAGAAGCCACGGTCTATCCCTTGGCCAGGTAGCCCAGTTAGTTAGAACATCATCCACAACCAGGGTTGTGGGTTCGATCCTGGGTCAGGGTACATACAAGAATAACCAAAGGATGCGTAAATCAGTGGAACAACAAATTGATACCTATCTCTGTCTGTCTGTCTCTGTCTCTTTCACCAAAAGATAAAAATTTAAAAAGCCACAGTCCTTACCCTAATGACTTGTGACCCCCTCAGTAATTAGCTCATCTCTGACTAGACCTCCTTTCTCTTCTTCCCTGAGGCTGTTTCTTGCCTCAGGACCTTTGCCCTGGCTGTGCCCTCAGCCCATATTACAGGTCTCCACAGTGCCTTGCATGTTGAGCTCCTTCTCTTAATTCAGGTCTCAGCTCATAATGTTATCTACTCAGAGACCACCTATACCATCCTAAATAATGTACCCCTTCCAGCACTCTTACCCTCTGTCATGTCATTGCACTTGTTCTGGTTTCTTTTTTTGGGAGCAGTTAGCACTATCTGAAGGAATCTTGTTTATGTAGTTAATATTTGAATAGCATCTCCCCTGAGGGCAGGGATTTCTCTGTCTTGTTCACTGTGTACTCCAGTGCCTAGGTGGTCAGGAAATGATAATGTGGTTGAATTAATGAAGGAGAGGATGTGGGTATTTGAGGAAGAGCTAGGTGTCTCCTGACTGCACCCCTGCCACTGCCTCTTACCCAGTGAGCCTTCTGGCAAAGCAGGTGGCCCACCAGCCCTAGGTTTCCTTGTTATTTGGGAGCCAGCATTTGGGTGAGGATCCTGAGAACTGGCCATACTGCCCCTCAGGCTAGTTTTTGGAATAGGTTGTGTAGGGCAGTTCTGGGCCCTCAGCTCTGGGCCCCTTCAGCCTCCGCAGCTCTTGCTTGCCTATCTGGTGACAGCCAAGCAGCTCCCCAGGAGCTCATTTCCTGTGGGGAACCCGCCAGCTGTAGGAAGAATTAAGGGGAAATGGTGCTGTGGGTGAGTCCTTGTGTAACAGACACACGTTGGAACCGCAGGTCTTCCCTACTCCACTTACACCCAATACAGCACTTATACATTTTCTTCTATGTACAGAATTATACATACACTTTGTGCAAAATTCATCAAGGAAAGTTTGAGTTCCCCACTGTTTACAGTTTGGTATATATTACTCTAGAATTGTGTCTACTCTAGAATTGATAATGACATCAGAAAACCTTGACAGAGTCTTTTGTGAACCAGGACATTTCATCCTTATGTGAAGTATGAGATCCCCATTCCACAGGTGAGGAAACAGGCACGGAGAGGTGAAATAACTTGCCCAGACTCACAGTATTAATGTAAGGCACAAGCCAGGTTGCTTAGCAGACAGACCTACAAATGTGTGCTAATATGATATAGTATCTTTCTTTTCTAACACTCCCTCATTGATGACGGTGCTTAGGGTGGGCTGGTGCCTTGCTTCCTTAAGTCATCCAGAGGTCTGGTTCCTTCTGTCTTATTGCTCTGCTATCTTCTGAGGGTTGCCCTGGACCAGTGCTCAGTTCTGGCTCACTGGTAGGTGTCCACTGTACAGCCTCAGGAAGGGACCAAATGAGAGGAGGGCAGGCTGGAATTGCATCATCACTGTTGCTGGCTTCTTGTCTGGGCTTGGTCACATGCCTACACCTAGCAGCAAGGCAAGTCAAGTAATGTCATCCCTAATGGATGTTTGTGTATCTTGTTAAAACTCAGGGTTGGGGGTTATCTTAGTCTGTTTGGACTGTTATAATGAAATACCACAAACTGGGTAACTTATAAACAACAGAAATTTATTACAGTTTTAGAAGTTGAGAAGTCTAAGATCAAGGTGCTGACATGGTTGCATTCTGGTAAGGACCCTCTTCCAGCACCTTCTGGCTGTCTTCATCTGGTAGAAGGGGGAGGGACCTCTGTGGGTCTCTTTTCTGAGATCTTATTCCATTCATCAGAACTTCACCCTCATGACCTAGTGAACGTCCACTCAGCCCAGATCCTAATACCATCACCTGTGAGTGTTAAGATCACAACATATGAATTCAGAGAGGGGAATACATTCAGGCCATAGCATGGGTTTACATTCTCAGAGGAAGAGGGGACACTGGATTCTGGGGACAGTTAGCAGTTCTGCCTCAAAATGCTGTTAAGTGATGGAGCTCTGGCAGGCTGGCTCCTCTCAATGTCTCTGCTTCTGCCTCTTGTCAGAGAGGCTGCTGCCAGGGCCCTGTCCCCACACCTGATATGCCTCTCCCTCCACCAGGTGGACATCATGCAGATGTGTGTCATGGAGCTGAAGGAGAGGCCAGGCAAGCCCTTATTCCACCTGGAGCACTACATCGAGGGCAAGTACATCAAGTACAACTCCAACTCAGGCTTTGTTCATGATGACAACATGCGCCTGACACCACAGGTGTGGCCCCTGGAAAGAAAGGTCCCCTGGGGGAGGTGGTTCTCACCCTTAGAGGCCCTCAAGCCCTGTGGAGCATCCCAAGGTTATTCCATGCCAGCTCTGTCAGCCACCCAGAGGTTTCTACCAAGTTAAACAGGGCTCCTTCCTTTGTCTTTTCCTCTAAACAACTCCCCTGTGCAGAGAAGGCCCCCACCATGGGCAGAGCTGGGGTGTCTCAGTCTCTCAGAGTAGTGGCTGGCCAATGTCCACACAGCCTACAGCCTGGTCTCTTATCATCTTTTTCTTCCTGTCCCCCACAGGCCTTCAGCCATTTCACATTTGAGCGTTCTGGCCATCAGCTGATTGTGGTGGACATCCAGGGTGTGGGTGACCTCTACACCGACCCACAGATCCACACCATGAAGGGCACTGACTTTGGAGATGGCAACCTAGGTAGCTGGGGAAAGCAAGCTCTTTCCATAGAGACCATACACCCCTCCCTCGAATCTCCCAGCTCTTTGTACAGCCAGCAAAAACAGGGCAAGTCGGCATATGGGCCTTGCCAAGGTTGTGGCGGCGGGAGCCTAGGACATTGGGACCCCACCTCTTCCTTTTTCAGCATGGTTACATTTGCCCCTGTCACAAAGCAGAACCACACCCCTGACACCACTACTCTGTCCTCAGGTGTCCGGGGCATGGCTCTCTTCTTTTACTCCCATGCCTGCAACCGGATTTGCAAGAGCATGGGCCTCACTCCTTTCGACCTCTCACCAAGAGAGCAGGATGCAGTGAATCGGAACACCAAGCTGCTGGTGGGTGCTCCATGTGAGCCTTCTGGGACTGATGGTGTCCTTCTGCTTCTGGGCTAGCAAACGTGCTTCACTGGGTGACAGCAGCCCCAGCCTGTGATGCTTAATTGAAGAGTGTCAGGGCTGGAAGGACCTCAGTCCCAACCATGCCCCTCATGCCTCCCAAATCAGTGCATGAAGCCTCCCTGAGTATCCTACTAATAAAGAGTAACTGGGGTATGCTTGATTTGGGCCCATTTTTTACCAGAGTGAGGAGACCAGGTGTGTGAAGATTGGGAGAGAAGTGTATGGTGTGTGTGTGTGTCAACAAATAGCTGGACTAGACTTAGACCTGGCTCCCTGGGCCCCTCACTATATCCTGGATGTGCCCACTCCACCCCAACTACAAGAGAATGTTGGCAAAGACCAGCTTGGGATTCTGAATATGAAGTGATATCTATTCCCCAGGTCAGGGCTGGGAAATGTGGTTAGTGCTTTGAGGGAGGTTGGCTGGCCAGTCCCTATCCAAGATGCCCCTTTGGCTTAATCCTCACTTAGTACTTTCAGATTTCCCACCAGTCTCTAAACAAGCATGTATAAGAGCCATAGGACCTCAGAGTTCAAAGTAACAACAGGCAACAGGAAGAGTCCCTCACTCCCCAGAGGGTGCCTTTGTGACATGAATGTCCCTGTTAATTCTCCAGCAATCCTCGAAGACCATCTTGAGGGGGACAGAGGAAAAGTGTGGGAGCCCTCGAGTAAGGACCTTCTCTGGGAGCTGGCCACCCTGGCTCCTCTGCCTTTCAGAGACCTCTGGAGATGAGAACATGAACGACATGACCTTCAACTCTCTCCCTTCCTCCCCATCTTCAGCCATGCCACTGGACCTCCACAGCCAGAAACTGGACCTCCTCTGTAAGTGATTGTTTGGTCCTTGGTCCTTGTTCTTGGAGGGAACAGGCACCAGGTCTACAGAGCTAAACTGGCTTTCACTTAATTTTAGAAAATCAGACACACTAACCAAAAAGATTCATGGCCCAAAGGGTTTTACAGGCGAGTTCTTTCAATAAATGTTCAAGATGCAGCAGGTCATCTGGATGCTATAAAAGCAGCCCATATTATAGAAAATGTTTTTCAGTGTGTTTTATGAAACTAGCAAAACTTGACAAAACACTGAAAAAGAAAACTATATTCAAATCTCATTCACAAATATATAATGCAGAAATTCTAAATGAGGTATTAACATACAAAGATTAGTAGTATCCTAAGGGAATCATCTGTCATAGTCCAATAAGGTTTTCACAGGAATCTGAGGGTTGTTCAACATTAGAAAGTGGATTATTGGCATATGACTAGGTCAAAGGAGAAAAGCAATTGTTATTTCTGAAGTTGCAGTGACAGTTTGCTGATGATGTGGGTGTGGGGTCTATAGGAAAGAGGGAGGGAAGGCTGATGCCAAGGTTTGGCCTGAGAACTGAAAGGATGGTGCAGCTATTAGTTCAGCTGGGGGTCTGTGGGGGAACAGGAGACGATTCTGTGTCAAATGTTAAAGAGCTTTTAGATATCTCTACTGGAAGGCCTCGGGAACAGTCTGGAGCAGGAGTCAATAAGCTTGTTCTTAAAAGGCCAAAGTAAATGTTTTAGGCTTTGTTGGCCACATGGTCTGTTTTCAGTCTGTGTGCTTCCATAGACAATGATGAAGCAAACAGGTGTGGCTGTCATTTCAATACTCCTTTCGTGGACATTGAAGTTTGAATTTCATATAATTTTCATGTATCACAAGATGTTGTTCTTTTGATTTTTTTCCAACCATGTAAAAATGTAAAAACTATTCATAAAAACTATGTAAAAACAAGAGATAAGCCAGGTTTGGCCTGGGGGTGGGAGGGCCTGAGGTGACAGGATAAGTAGAAAATTGTGGGTATTGAAGCCATCTGGGGCTTCCCCGCTTGTAGCTCCTCACTGGGCCCCAAATGTACAAATGGCCTTTCTTTCTTCACAACTGCACCTCATGAAGGCCCATGGTGAGCCATGCACACGTGCTTACAAACATGTTACACAAATATGTTTATTTGCATTATGATAACTCCAAGGAGGCATAGGAATTAAGCTGCTTGCTCAGGGCCCCACAACTGGCAAGTGGCAGACTTGAAGAAAATTCTCAAGAAATAGCTGTTGACCCAAGTGCTGATAACATTCTTCTCCCTTTATTGCACCTTTAATTTAAATTAAAAAATTTAAAATAAAGGCATGGTGGCAGGTACAGTCAGCTCTAGGCTGTGGGTTTGCCTTATGAACTGCCTAGCAGTGGACCCAGAGCATTGTCTGACTCTATTTTCTCCCTGCCCAGATTGGCCTGTACTCAGTGACCTCGATAACATGGCTCCCCAATATCATGACCATCTGGACAACCACCTGGTGAGTGGAGAGGGAAGGAGGGGCAGGGCAGGTAGGACTACACTCAGTCTGGTGGGAACTGAGGGTGAATGTGCAGGTACAGAGGTGGGCAGCCCAGGTCTGCTCCAGGCATTGCCAAGAGGGCATGGGGAGGAATTGGGGGATACAGGTGAATCTCAGCCTCCTGCCCAAGGCAGCAGTATTTTTGGAAAGAGCTGGGTCCATTCCCCTTCCCAGAGGTGGTTAGAGAAGAGGAAATCCAAGTCAACAGCAATGTGACCTTCTGGTAACTGCCGGGCTCAGCCCTGAGCTGGTTTGGCCACCTATGTATGGACAGCTATGTTGGGGGGAAGGGGCTATGCTGTGTTCAGACTTGTCACTGACAGCACAGTCAACTGGGATGCTCTCAGATTGGATAAACAGAACAGGTTCTTGGAGCTTCTGGGTGACTCAGTGGTAAGAAACTGAAAGCATCATATTTGCATTCAGGCAAACACATCATGGTGTCAAGTTTAAAATTCTTGGGAATTTTAAAAACAGACTTTACAGAAATGTCACACTTGCCCAGACCACAAGTGCATCATTAGATGGTTCCAAAGGTTCAAGTTTACTCTTGACTATTTTTCACAATTCTTGAGGGGAAGAAAAAAATAATAGCATTATTGTGGGCAAATGCTATGTTGAGGACTTGATAGATATTCTCAATTTATCCTGACAACAACCTACAACCTACAAGGTTATATATTTTTTAATATTTTATTTATTTATTTTCAGAGAGATGGGAAGGGAGGGAGAAAGAGAGGGAGAGGAACATCAATGTGTGGTTGCTTCTCACGTGCCCCCTACCAGGGGACCTGGCCTGCAACCCAGGCATGTGCCCTGACTGAAATTGAATCAGTAACCTTTTGGTTCACAGGCCAGCACTCAATCCACTCAGCCATAACAGCCAGGGCCTTTGAGGTAGATTTTGTAAATTCCTTTATAATAAATTTTATTCTAGAATTAGAATAAATTTTAAAATTTCAGGATAGCTCATCCATTCTTATGGTTGAAAAGAAAAGGTACAAAGGATTGGTACAGCAAAATGTCTTGCTCTTGCCTGTCCCTCGGCCACCTGTTCCTTTTCCCCAATATTACCACTCATGGTGCAGGACTCATTGTCCGTAATTTAGAGATGAGGACAACGAGGCACACAAAGGTTGAGCCACTTGCTCCTGGTTACTTAGTGATGGAGCCAAGATTCAAACCCACCTTCTGACTGCTGCCCTTTGCCTCTGTTCCCCACCTCTGAGTGGGTAGTCCCCCCATTACTCAGATGGGGATAACAAGGTTTGGAGAGGTTGGCTGCCTTGCCCAGGGACCCAGAAGCTGGGGTTTGTATGAAATCCTTCATTGCTCACCTTGGTCTTGATTCCAGAGGGAGGGATGGGGTGCAGGAGGGTGACTGAAGGCCATGTAGTGGAGGGGGCAGTGCAAGGATCAGGCTGTCTGGAGCTTCTGAGTATAGCCTGCAGTCCATTTTCCAAAACAGCCTTTCATTCCACTCCCCGAACAGTTAGGTGATCTATAACTAATACCTCAGTTTTAAAAATTGGGGGAAAAACAAACAAAAGCCTTTCAGCTCACACAGAATAAAGGCCTTGGGGGAGGCTGGGAGGGGAGTTTGTAGGGCTTGTGGGGTAGAGGATCCCACCAAAGCAGGGACCAGGGATTCCATTGTGTGTGGTTGCAGTGACCCAGGTTTTACATTTAAGCTAGTGATCCCAAGCTTCTTTTAAAGAAGCTGGCTAGTGTGGCTCAGTGGATTGAGTGCCAGCCATGGTCCCAAAAGGTTGCCAGTTTGATTCCCCGTCAGGGTACATGCCTGGGTTGTGGGCTAGGTCCCTGGTTGGGGGCACATGAGAGGCAACCAGTCAATGTATCTCTTGTCTTATTTGCATGTTTGAAATATGTCTTAGTAGAATAAGGAAGGAAAATAATGAAAGTATTAGCTGAATAATGATGTAGGTGACATGCAGATATGGCCAAAATTCAACATTGGTAGACAAGTGATTATAGTTTTAGAGGTTGTAAATTATGTCACTTTCCCTTTCTGAACAGATCTCAGATATAGAACAACAAAAAAAATGCCCAAGTCACCTATGCAGTTTTGAGAAAGGGCTTAGTCATAGTAAATATTATTCCCGGTGCTGCATTTTTATCTATGCCTTATATCCCTTAAATCAGCCTTGTGTTTTTCTGCCCATGCATTGTTGAGCAACACTTAACAATAGCACCTACTGTGATCCCCACTATCACTGTCATCCTCATAGCTTTTGACATAGGTGCTATAATGAGTCCCCATAGCTAAGGAAACTGAAGCTCAGAGAGGGTGAGCAGCTGGCAAATCACAGAGCTCAGATTTGAGCCCCAGCAATCTGGCTCCCAAGCCCAAGCTCTTCACCACTACTTTTTACTGCTCCCTTGTCACCCAACCAGCAAGGGCGAAAGGAGGAAAATATTAAATGAGATGATGGGACAAAGGAGAGAAAGCACATGTCTGGGATGTTCAGATGTCACCACCACCAGGTACTCAGAAGACCACTGAGACCCTCAGGCCATCTTTTCTCCACAGGACTCTGAGAATAGTGGGGATAGCGGATATCCCAGTGAAAAGCAGGGTGAGCTGGATGACCCAGAGCCCCATGAACACGTAAGAAACTCCTAGGAAACGAGACCAGAGTTTTCTGTTGCCTCATTGTCTAGAAGATAAGAGAAGTATGGAAAATGAGAGTGTGTCATGAGAACATGACAAGTAAATTACCAAATAAGATCATTTCAAATAAAGGTGAATGCACCGCAGAAGATAAAGCAGGGTAGTGGGGATCAGTAAGTGTAGTGGGGGAGGGGGTGGCTCCAAGACAAAATTGAAGTGGTTAAGCAGAGAGGATCCTGGGTAATAAGCCAGAATACTGCTGGTATGGGTGGGAGGGTCAACTCTGGCACAGGATATGGCATTCCTAGGATGACCCCCAAAATTTGTGAGGCACCTCCCACAGTGTCCTGGTAAGGGTAGCCAAAGGCAGTGTCATAGCTATTTAAAATTTAGCCCTTTACCAAGTCAGTATCAAGTCCAGTCTTGCTGGAGTCCTCTGGTCTCAGCTTTTGTTACTGCAAATAAAGATATGCAATGGGAGCTTTGGCTAGAGGAAGCACTTGGCCCAGTTTTTTGGGATCCTGTGCCTTTGAGTCAGTTCTACCTGTGCACAGCAAGAGGAGAGTTATGGTTGCCCCAGCATATCAGGCCTGCCTGTTACCCAGCATCCTCTCTGCTTGGCAGGCAGGGTTCCTGCTTTCCCTGATGGGGGTCAAGCTGGTTGCCTGAGAGGAGGGTACCTGGGAGGCCGGATTAGTTTCCAAGGAGGAGGTTCTTGGCCAGACCAGTTTTGGGGAGGAAGAGCAGCTCTTTGTGTCATTCTATTCTCTTTCTGTCAGGGTCGCTCAAATGGTAACCAGAGGTATGAGTCAGATGAAGACAGCCTGAGAAGCTCCAGACAGGTAGTGCTCCTGAGGAACCCTTGTAATGCTTTGTGCTTGCCTTTTGAGACTGTTTTTTTTCTCCTCCCTCATGCCTGCAGCCTACCCAGTTGCTTCACATCTCCAAAAGGAAAATTTCACAAAGGAGCCAAACCTCTTGGCAAATAATTTTTGAGCCTCTGCCCTGGGTGGGACAATGGAAGACTTTTGGGGAGGATTAGGGATATCAGGATCACCTGTTTTGCAGGGGCAATTAAAACAACCATAGCTCACATGTTAAAGCCATGCCAATGTAAGTGCCTTGTAGTGTTAACTTACTTCTGACAGCCACCCAATGAGACAGGCTAATGTTACTCACTCCCATTTTACATAGGAGAAAATGGGGGTCTTGAGCAACTTTCCCTCGGTTACCAGTTAGTGTTTCCAACAAGCATCTCAGGTGATCATCACCACCTCCCAGGTGTGGGAAGAACCAGCCCTTAGGAACACTGTGTTCTTCTCTAGTTGGTTCTGACACACAGCTGACCTCTCACCTTCCAGCCTTCACTAAAGCAAGTCCCTTTCCCACCTACAATGTCCTTTCTCCCACTGTGGTCATATTTCCTCCAAGCCCGCCTACTCTCCTGGCCTGGATCCCAGTTGTACCTCCAGCATGTCCTCTTCGCTGATCACCTCAGCAGGCTTGACCCCTGCTCCCTTAGAATGGACTACATGCCACGTGTTATTCCTCAGTTGGGTCAGGGGGCTCAGCATGGAATGGGGCAGGGTTGTTCAACTATGGCACCATCAACATTTTGAGCTGGGCCATCTTTTGCTGTTGGGGCTGCCTTATGTGTTGTAGGAGGTTTGGGGCACATGCAGCTGCCTGGCCCTGTCCTGTGAGAGCCTTTAAATAGGGCGTGTATCTGGGAGACATTTCCGAAAGCACCCAATTGATGCCCAGATGAAAGCAAATGGACTTGTCGTAAGGCCTAAAGCCAGACATCTTGTGCCTTGTGTGGAGAGCTGGGCAATGGGCAGCTTGGGGTCCAATCTCCCCAACCACATCCAGACTGATAAATGAGGGAAACACTTTTTTGAACTACTGTGGTCCGTTGTGCTGGCTTTTGTGTCTCGTTGCTGTCATTGTCCCTCAGCAACATGAGCTGATAGAATCTAACACCATAAGGGTTCACTGCCTACCTTGCTAACCAGGCTTGTGTAGTAGAAGTTGACAGTATGACCATCCCCAGCCCCTGGCTTCTCTGGCCTAGAAACTCACCATGCCTGGTTTTCTCCTTCAGGTCTGTGTGGAGAAGTGGAATCTTCTCAACTCTTCCCACGTCCACCTGCCGAGACCTTCAGCCATGGCCCTGGAATTGCAAAGGCTTAATGCTCTGGACCTTGAAAAGAAAATTGGGAAGTCCATTTTGGGGAAGGTATCAGAGGTGCCTGTTTCAGAGCCCTTCCTGCAATAACCCAGCTCTCACCTCCTCCACTCATTGCTTCCTCCTGCAGTCTGGGTGGGGGCTCTTGAGTGAAACTTTGGTCTCCCAGACGACCCAACCAACACCCAAGTCTATGTGGCAGGTCCATCTGGCTATGGTGCACTACCATGAGGGTGGGCGCTTCTGTGAGAAGGATGAAGACTGGGACCGAGAGTCAGCCGTCTTCCACTTGGAGCGTGCAGCTGACCTGGGTGAGCTGGAGGCCATTGTGGGCCTAGGACTCATGTACTCACAGCTGCCCCACTACATCCTGGCTGATGTCTCTCTGAAGGTGAGAGGGGCCTGGTACCCAGCCGGGTGGCCTTCATCAGCCCACTATTCCCTCAGTCCTGGGGGGTTTATGCATGTCACAGACAGTTCCTGATCACCAGTAGGGGCCAGGTACTCCTAAGTGAGGTGATACTGGTAGAATTGGTCTACCAGTATCACCTTGGGAAATGAGTGGAAGGCGACAGTCCCATTTCTACATAATCATAACAGTTGTGATGGAAGAAGCAGAAGAGGTGATGGAAATGAATGAGAGAGGGCCCTAACTGGGGTTCCCAGGGGTCAACACCTGCTTCTTCATAGCTGGTTTCAGTGGTATCCTTAGGGGCTAGAAAAGAGCCCAGCACACAGGAGATGCTCAGCATTTGTTGGTGAAATCAATGAATAAAGTGATATCTAGGTTAGACGTAAAGGCTGAATGGTATTGTAAGAGGGGAACAGTTCAGGCAGAGGGAACAGCAGGTGTTCAGTCCCAGAGGTGACAGACAGGATAGCTGATCTGAGGACAGGAGGTGATCAGTGTTTTCAGTACCACTAGAGCACAGGGCATATGGGGATGGTGCATATGGGGGTGAATCTGGGTCTGAAACAGCAGGATGTGGATGTGTGGGGAAATCCCTGGTCCCTAGGCACAGTGAGGAAAGGACTGAGTCCACAGGTCCTGGCTGGGCCTGCAAAATATTATCTTCCCCTTGGAAAAGTTGAGAGGCCCTCCTGAGCATGTGGCTTCAATGTATCTGTTCCCATCCTCTCTATCATGTGGGCCAGGGTCGTGGATGGACAGGTGGCTGGGCAAGTCTGGGCTCAGCCTGGGCCCAGGGTACCAGCACTCCTCAGTGGTCCTGGACATGGCCCAGTGGGTAGGGGGTCTCGGACCAGAAGAAGGCGTGAAGACACTCCAAAGTACTTTATTTAACTTTTTGAACAAGGAACACATTTATGTGATTGATTTTTTTTTTCTTTAAAAGCTTTGTTGTATAGAATTCCATAGTCTATTAGTTTCCTAGGGCTTCCTTAACAAATGACCACAAACTGGGTGGCTTAAAACAACAGGAATTTATTACCTCACAGTTCTGGAAACTAAAAGTCCAAAACTAAGGTGTCTACAGGGCTGTGCTCCCTCCTTCTCTCTTCTAACTTGTAGGGTGCTGGCAACTACAGCGTCCCTTGGCTTTTATTGGTTTGGCCACAAAGTTCGTATGGTTTTTTTCCATAAAATATGACACATTTTCTATTTTCTGAATAACTTTATAGATTTGGACATTTTGAGAAGGTCAACTATCTCCCGTGTGGTATAACATTTGATTATTCTCAATCAGTGTCTCAATTTGATCACTATTAACTTCAACTGGTCTACCCAACCATGGAGCATCGTCCAGTGAGAAATCTCTAGCACAAAAGTTCTCAAACCACTTTTGACACATTGAATCAGTCATAGCATCTTCTCTTTATATTGCACAAATATTTTTCTTGTATTTCAGTTGTGTTTTTACCTTTCTTGAAATAGTAAAGCATAATATGCCAAAAATATTTCTTATTCCATTTTCAATATTAAAATGGCTACACAAAAATTCACTAATTTTGATGTTTTTTTAAATGCACACTGACATGACAGCTGTTACAAGACAACTAAGCACTACTAGAGCAATTTTATAGAAAAAAACAAATGAACTTTTGACCAACCCAATAGATTTCATCTCTCCAGTCTCCATGTCTGCCTTCACATGGCCTCTGTCCATTCCCATCTCTGTCTCTTCTCCTCTTATAAAGACACCAGTCATGTGGTGTTTAGGAACCTCTCTACTCCAGGATGACCTCATCTTAATTATTAACATCTTAACATCTGCAAATATCCTATTTCCAAATCAGTCCAATTTTGAAGTTCTGGGTGGACATAAATTGAGAGGGACACTGTTTAACTCAGTATAAAGAGTTTCCTTACACCAGCACAGAGTATTTTCACCCTTTTTTTTTCTTTAGTTGTCATACCACACACACTCACCTGAACCTAGGTTTTCTCACTGGAAAGCATCCTGTAGACATTTCTTCTCAGTAGTATACAGTGTCCTCATTCTTTTCAACAGCTGTATAATGTCCCTTTGCATGGGTACCACCTGCTTTATTTAACCTTTAATCTGTTGATGAACACTTTGGTTTGTTCCATTCTTTGGATATCACAGAAATTGCTGAAGTGACTAGCTTTGTGCACATGAAGTTGAACTTCATAAAACTACCACTTTTGTAGGTCAGGAAAGGTAGATTATTGACAGTGTCATATGATTCAGTCATGTAGATTATTTGGCATGTGGGCAAGAGATAATCCACAGCCATTTTTTTTCCTGTTTTAGATGGTGAGGGGTAGGCTTGGTTCTGGGAGGGCATTTTTATAGACTGATGACTTGTCTATCTCCTACCTCCTTGCTCCTTGACAACAGTAATGAATATTGCTTATTCAACCAGTAGTGTGCTGGTAAATGTTTACCAGTTGGCTCTTGGGGGTGGGGAGGAAGTGTATCCACATATATATATACAAAATTTATTATAAATTTTACTGATATAAAGAATGTGGGACACATGGGGTGGTGAACACGCAACACAATATACAGATGATGTATTATAGAACTGTACACCTGAAACTTACATAATTTTATTAGCCAGTGTTACCCCAGTAAATTCAATTTAAAAAAGACTGGAGCATACAATTTACAAACAATAATAAATATACTCTTTATTGTAAATTCCATATAGTCAATTGATTCTCACAGTTTGCTTTCACTACTTATTGTGGGACTTTATATCAGTAACCCACTTATGGTTGCAATTGTCGTAGGTATGATGTTTTGACATAAATATTGGTCATTGTAAATATTGGTTGATACTTTCATTTACTTGAGTAAGATGGAGGTGAAATAAGGAAGACCTCTGTCAGAACTGGAACTTCATTTATTTGCCACTGATATGAGCAAATTCATTGTTTGTAATACTAAGAAACTTTTCTTCAATTTACTGTGTTAGTCATAGTATAATGGCTACAAACACAACATACTTTTAAGTTAATCTGCATTAGGAATATTTTTTCATCTCTTTTTCAACCAAGACAATCAAATCTTGATCTGTAGCATTTTCTGCTCTCTGTGGTGTAAAGGTTCCTGCTGTGGCCATTTTTACAGTACCAATATGACATCACTGAACATGGAACTGGGAAAAGACCAGTGGGTCTCAACCAGTCATTTCACCTTTCTGTCTCCAGGGAATAATTAGCAATATCTGGAGACATTTTTGGTTGTCACAACTCTGCGAGTGCAACTGGCATCTAGTGGGTAGAGGCCAGTGAGGTGGCTAACATCCTGCAAGGCTCAGGACTGCTCCACAGCACAGAATAATCTGATTTAAAATGTCAGTGGTACTGAGGCTGAGAAGCCCTGCAGTGGATAGAATTAATTTCAAGAGCATAGGTAGTAAGTAATACAGAGTAAAATATTTAGAAAGTGGTGAGCTTTGAGTAATTGTTACCATTCCTGTAATTTTAAGTTATCAAAATTTTATTTTTAATCATAGCTTGCAGGATTCCTGGAAATTTCAGTCAGTTCTCCTGACCTGTAGGGCCAGCTCTAGCAGGCCACTGCACCTGTCACAGAGCTCAGCCCAATGAGAACACTCAAAGGCCTTGAGGGCTGAATGAAGGAAATCTGGGCCCAGGATGAGTGGTAGGGCCAGGGCCAGCAGATATCCCTCTCTCGGAGGCCCCTGGTAGGTCTCCTTGTGATCTCAGACTTTATACACCAGTGCCTAGGACCTACTTTGTAAGGAGACTCGGAAGCAATTCCAGTGTCCTCAACTGCAGGAATCCCACAGGCCTTGCTGTTGCATACAGACTGTGGCAGCTTCCCCTAGCAGGAGTATGGTTGGATAGAATGTTGTAGTTAGGTCAGGGCAGACAGGAAGGAAGTGAACTGAGTTCAAGCAGGCTTATGGCTTAGCGAGGAAAACAGTGCCCTTGTGTGTCCTGAGAGGCTGATGTGCTCTAGAAAGCTTATGTCCCACTTTCCCGGATGCTCTCATTTTGGGGGTCTTTTTTGTCTTGTGAAGACATGCATCCCTCAAATGTTTGTTGACTATCTTCTATACTCTGGACACTGTCCTAGTTCCTTATTCGTGACAGCAAGCTTTTCAGGCAGGGAAGGGTATAGTACAGGTAACAACAAATGAAAATGTCCAGCAGAATTAAAATAACTAACCTTTACAGAGCACTTCCTGGGCCAAGTATTATTCAGAACTGCTCCAGAGAAAATATGACAGGGAATGTGATCACTAGTGACTAGAAAGGCCTTTGTATAAGGACAAAGTTTCCAGTTGCAGGGAAGGCTGGGAAATGTAGTCTGTCGCTCATCAACCATGTGCCAGTGAAGTGTGGTGGGCGAGAATGGATATAGGGGACACCTGGTAGTCTTTGCCACGCTTCTTGAAGGTTGAAAAGGACCTCATAGGCTGATATGAAGGCTGTGGATTGGTTTCTGAGTAAGATAGAAAGTCTTGGAGCTATTCTGATAGAGTAATGTGACCTGACTGGGGCTTCAAAGGCATCTCTCTGGCTGCTGCTATGGAATAGGTCTTTGCAGAACAATGGAAGCTGGTGTGAATGCAGCCACTATGGAAAACAGCCGGGCAGCTCTCAACTTACACATGACCCAGTAGTTCCACTCCATCCCCAAGAAAATAAAAACATACATCCCCAAGAGAAAAAACTGTACATAAAATTTCACAGCAGCATAATTCTAAAAAGTAGAAAAAAAATACACATGTCCATCAACTGATGACTAGTGGTTGAATAAAGGAAATGTGGTATAGCCACATAATGGAATGTTATTTGGCCATAAAAAGAATGAATCACTGATATATGCTACAACATAAATGAGCCTTGAAAACTTTATGGTGAGTGAAAGAAGCCAGTCACATATGGTATGACTACATTTATGTTAAATGTCCACAATAGGAAAATGCCTAGAAACAGATGGTAGATGAGTGGTTGCCTAGAGTTGTGTAGGATGGAATAGTTTGGAGGTGAGAGTTAAGGGGTATGGTGTTTTGGTTGTTTGAAATTATTACAGTGATGGTTACACATTTTGTGAAAATATACTAAAAACTACTGAATTGTACACTTTCAAGGTTGTGAATTGTATGGTATGTGAACAATATCTCAATAAAGCTACTAAATTTTTTTCTTTTATTTTTTTATTGATTATGCCATTACAGTTGTTCTATTCCCCCCCTTCATTACCCTTCACCCTACCCCCATCCCCGCCATTCCCCCCTTTAGTTTATGACCACGTGTCTCAAGTTCTTTAGATTCTATATTTCATACTATTCTTGCCTCCCCCATCTCTTTTCTATCTACCATCTATGCTACTTATTTTCTGTACCTTCTCCCCCTTTCTCCTTCTCTTACTCCCCTGTTGCTAACCCTCCTTGAGATCTTCATTTCTATGTTTCCACTCTTGATCTAGCTGTCCTTTTAGTTTGCTTTCGTTTTAGGTGTGGTTGTTAATAACTGTGAGTTTGCTGTCCTTTCACTGTTCATTTTTTTTTAACTTCTTTTTCTTAGATAAGTCCCTTTAACATTTCATATAATAAGGGCTTGGTGATGATGAACTCCTTGAATTTGATCTTATCTGAGAAGCACTTTATCTGTCCTTCCATTCTAAATGAAAGTTTTGCTGGATAGAGCAATCTTGGTTGTAGGTCTTTGGATTTCATGACTTGGAATACTCCTTTCCAGCCCCTTCTTGCCTGTAAAGTCTCTTTTGAGAAATCTGCTGACAGTCTGATGGGAACTCCTTTGTAGGTGACTGTCCCCTTAGCTCTTGCTGCTTCTAGGATTCTCTCCTTCATTTTAATCTTGGCTAATGCAAATTATGATGTGCCTTGGTGTGTTCCTCCTTGGGTCCAACTTCTTTGGGACTCTCTGAGCTTCCTGGATTTCCTGGAAGTCTATTTCCTTTGCCAGATTGGGGAAATTCTCCTTTCTTATTTGTTCAAATAAGTTTTCCACTGGTGGCTGTGCCTTTCCCCCTTCTGGTACCCCTATAATTCGGATGTTGGAGCGTTTAAAGATGTCCTGGAGGTTCCTAAGACTCTCCTCATTTCTTTGAATTCTTGCTTCTTGACTCTTTTCTGTTTGGCCATTATTTGCTTTCTTCTGGTCCACTCCATTGATTTGAGTCCCAGTTTCCTTTTCATTACTATTGGTGCCCTGTTCAATTCCATTCATTTCAATTAGTTTCGCCTTCATATATTTGTCTAATTTGTGGCTATAATCAACCAGTTCTGTGAGGATCCTGATCACCAGTGTTTTAAACTGTGCGTCTGAGAGTTTTGCTATTTCTTCATGGCTTAGATCTATGGGCTCTGGGGCTTTGAGAACTTGCGACATTTTTGGTCTGTTCGGGCCCTTTAAGTGTGAGAAGCGGCGCCTTGGACTCCCAGGTCGCTGGGTTGTGACACTACATGTGGGGGCGTGGTCAGAGCGGGGAAATGGCGACCCCCTCTGCTGTTTCGTGCCGCTGGGGAGGAGCAGAGCCTTAGGTGGTTCCCCAGGGCAGGGCCACTCAGGTCGCTGGGTTATGACACTGTATGTGGAGGTGGGGTCAGAGCGGGGAAATGGCGGCGCCCTCTGCTGCCACTCGCCGCTGGGGCCTGCTGGGTCCCGTCTAACCGCCCACTCTCTTGCTGGTCTATCTGTGCACAAATGCGGGACCACAGTCAAATCTCGGCCCTGCTCCCTCGCTGGTTTCCCACAGTCACTCGCTGGGTCGCTCACTAGGTCCACCCATTGCAACCCTGTGCCTGGGTTCCGCATGCCTGAGTCCATCTATCTGACCAAGTTTTCCTGTGCAACCCTGCTCTGCCAGCTGCTGGTTTCGCCCCTCTTACCAGTCAGACTGAAGAATTTGTTGTTATTGGACTTCCGAAAAGTTCAATTTTCTGTGTTTTGGCTGTGTTTTCTGTTGCTAATATTTAGTTGACTCTAAACTTGGTTGTGTGAGAAAGCACGGCGTTTCCACCTATGCCTCCATCTTGGCGGAAGTTATCTAAAATTTTTTTAAAGCGTGGATATAGAAAGTCCTGTTGGAGGCAGATGATGTGGCTCTTTGGAAGAATCAGAGTAGACAGAGGACAATAAGCAAGAGAAAGAGCTAAGCTTTCCATTTCCCCCTCGTGATAGGAATCCAAGGAACTCATTGCACAATGTGCAATTCTACAGTAGTCCCAGTCTAGAGATCCCAAATAATTCAAGAAATGGGGAGAGGATTTATCAGTGATACCTCACAGCCCTTCCAACCTCATTCTCTTTTCTTTTCTCCTCTCTGGTTCACATTGACAGGAGACAGAAGAAAATAAAACCAAAGGATTTGATTACTTACTGAAGGCAGCTAAAGCTGGTGACAGGCAGTCCATGATCCATGTGGCACGAGCTTTTGACACTGGCCAGAACCTCAGCCCAGACAGGTACTGTGGCCTCCACTCACATGGAGCTGGTGGGAACCTGAGCTGCAGGTGGGAGCTTTCCCCTCCAGTATCAGTACTGACCTGGGTTCCAGGCTGGGCTCCCCACTGAGTTCCAGTCCAGTGACCATGGCAAGTTATTTTACCTCCATGGCCTTAGTTTCTTGATTGTGTAAAATGGGAATAACAGAACCTGCATCCTAGGATTGTTGTGTGAGGGTTAAATGAGGTGATGCCTGTAATTCTCACTGTGCCTGGTGCATAAGGCACAAGATACATGGCAGCCACCTTTCAGCACTGGGTACAGAGTGGTTGTTCCTAGATGTTAGGGTAATCGGTGATTAGAATTTACTCTTCCTACTTTTACTTTTGTTATTTTTCACTTCCAGGGGGAAGGTGAGGGGAGGGAAAGAAGCAAGCTCCAGGGTGAGCTCAGGCCTGATGTGAGTTTTCCATGGTGGCTTTGGGACAGCTAAAGGCTACGGCTCTGCAAGTGCTAACTCTTTTTCAGTTATCACTCAGGCTGAGATGCCAGGACTGCTTTCTGGAGTGGGAGGAAGAGAGGATGACTCAACTTCATCTCATCTCCTTGGCTTGGTAGTGGGATATCCCAGAAGTCTAGACTGAGCAGAGGACAGTTGGGGGAATGATCCATTGCTGACCCTCTTTGGTTCCCCTTATATCTCAGCTACTCATTGCTGTCCTCAGGAGCCTGTGGCTTTCTAGAAGGGAGCAGGGTGAGCACATGCATCATCTAAACCTCCAGGGTTGGAGCAGCCTGGCAGTTCTTTCCTTTGGGTCAGGGTCTCATCTTCCTCTCACTGGGTTTAGAAGGAAAGTCAAGATAGTGGCTCTGTCATATCAAGCTCTTAGGATCTAAAACATAAAATAGACATGTGACATCCTGCCTGTACATATCATGGAAAAGGTATCAGACACCTACTGTACCATTCCCTTATATTTGGACCGCTCTTTCACTGAGAACAAGAATTGGGGCTTCTGTGTGTCTGTAGTCCAGAGCTTCACACAGGGCCTATCTCAATATTGTTGAATGAATGAAGCAACACATGTCTTTGGACAGGCAGGGCAGAGATGTTTGGTCCCCATTTTATGGATGAGTAAACTAGTTCTGAGAAGTGAAGGGACTTGCCCATGGTCAAAGATCTAGTAGTGGCAAAGCTAAAACCTAGGTCTTCTCACTTTTTCTCCAGTGGACTACCTACATGGCTGGCTTCATAGTGGATTCAGAATTATACTGGCATGGAGGGGAGGTAAACAACAAAGACACAATGTGATTGTATCAGATCAAATGCCAGAGTAGATGGTGCCCATGGAGTGCAGTGGGGAAACACAGTGTGGGCAGGGGTTGCTGGACCTAGGCACCTAAAAATCTTTGCTCTTTGTGTTTTCATGTTCTTTGTCTCCTTTTTCTTTGACATGATAGTTTATTTGTTGTTGATTTTTAAGAATTTTTAGCTCAGTGGATTGAGCACGGGCTTGCGAACCAGACAATCGCGGTTCGATTCCCAGTCAGGGCACATACCTGGGTTGCGGACCAGTTCCCTGCAGGCCAGTTCCCAGGAGGGGACGCACGAACGGCAACCGTACATTGATGTTTCTCTCCCTCTCTCCTTCCCTTCCCCTCTAAAGATAAATAAATAAAATATTTTTAAAAAAGAATTTTTAATATATTAATGGTAAGAACTATTTGGCATATGAGTTGCCTTAAAAATTTTTTTTTAAGATAACTACCATAGATGTGGGGGGATGGGGATGGCACATGTGCCACTCAATAACAGTTGTTTACCAGGTTTGAGGATATGTTGATTTTTAATATTTATGTAGTTAAATCTATCAAAGTTTTTTAAAGGATTTTATTTATTTGCTTCTTAGAGAGAGAGGAAAGAGAGGGAGAGAAACATTAATGTGGGAGAGATACTATGTGCAAGAGTCAATGTGCAAGGCTGCCTCATGCATGCCTCCAGCTGGGGACCTGGCCCGTAACCCAGGCATGTGCCCGGACTGAGAAATCAAACCTGTGACCTTTTGGTTCACAGGCTGGTGCTCAATGCATTGAGCCATACCAGCCAGGGCTATCAAAGTTTTTCCCTTTTTTTTTTTTTTTAGTTTCTACTGTAGTTGTTTCTTATTCTTCTACCTCATTCCAAGCAGCTCCAGCCTCTTCCATTCAGGTACTATTAATTGAGGGCCACTCTGGATAAGGCAGGGCCCCAGGTAGGCCCAAACTTGCATGTAATGGGTTTCCACCTTCTCACAAGTTACCACCTAGTAGAACAAGGAAAAGTCATTGCAAATTCCAAAGCAAGGATGGGCACCCTAACTACTGGATAAGGCAGGGTTTATCTGGTTTATCTGACTCCACAACTCTACTGGTTGTGGAGTCAGTTGGGGTTGGTGGTAGGTGGGAGAGACTAGGCCCTTCCCCTCTTTTCCATTTAATAATTTCGGGGCAATTCTGTTTTGCCCTTCAAGACCAGGAAGGGTCAGAGGTGAAAAAAGTAAAATCTAGTTTAGTGGTTCCCAGACAAAGGTTAAAACCTTAGCTTGTTAGGTGTGCCACCAAAAATTTTCAAAAGATTTTCTCTTCTATAAAACAAAATGGAATGAGGGTTAGCTTCTCAAGGCTTTCACAACTACCTATGCGTTCACCCTTCATTGGTCCCTGCCTTCCTGGGGCTTTCATTCTCTTTGGGGGAACTGTAATCAACAGTGAATAAGAAAACAGGAGAATTACAATTTAAGGCAATTGTAAGAAATCAGGTATTTGGAGATGGCTTCTCTGAAGAGGTGACATATGAGCTGAGGGTGGAGGGATGTGGAGCCAGGTGTGGAAAGAGGGGGAAAGAACATTCCAAGCAGACAGAACAGCAGTGAAGGCCCAGGAGCTGACAGTAGTTGGCATGTATGGGAACAGAGAGCCTAGCATGGAGGGAGATTAGCAGGAGCTAAGACCTGGGGCTGAGCTATGTCAGGTATGGCCTTGGAGGAGAGGACAGCAAGTCATTGTAGCTGTGTGTCCTGGAATACTTCATGAGACCCATAGACATTCTTATCTGCATCACTCTTTGCTCTTTCCTGATGTACTATAAATACTTACATTCCTAGTAATGGAGTCAGCACACCCAAAGAGAAAGAGCCGCTGCCCTGTTTGCTTTGTATTGTGTGTTTACCTTTGGTTGGAGCTTGTGTCTGTCCTTGGTGGTTTTGCCTTCCACAGGCTGTAGCAGGAAAAAGAGGAGGAGCAAGAAGGGCAGAGCCAGAGAGGGAGCCAGCTCTTCCTGGGGAAGCCCTGCATTGTGCTAGAGGCAGCCAGAGCCTACTGCATGGGCCTAGGATGAGATGGGGTACAAGTCGCTGTTCCCTCCTCTGATTCTGGAAGCCTTGGCATAGCCTGCCACCACCACCCCTGTCCCACCCACCTGGGCTGCCCCTGCCACCTCCTCTCTTATCCAAGTCAGAGGGCAGATTGACTGGGATACCAGCTACTGCTAATGCTGGCCCACAGGGTGCTATCTTGTTCAAACTGGAAAAATGCCTCTCTTCCTCAAAACACTGTTTCCATCAATGGAAAATTGTTGTAATATACCAATTTTATTAGGTAAAGCTAAAGACAGACTGCTATCTCAGTAAATGTAAAAATATACAGTGTAAACAATAACCCTTAGATGTGGTGGCATGGGGTGCTAATTCATAGGTGGTAGTCCCCTGGGATACCTGACTTGCTCCTCCTGATGGTGGGCCTTCTCCCTCCTGCCCACTTGTCATGGTAGCCTCCCTCTTTCCTCTTTATCTTTTGCCAAGGTCCCAAGACTGGCCAGAGGCTCTCTACTGGTATAACACCGCCCTGGACACAACGGATTGTGATGAGGGCGGTGAGTATGATGGGATGCAAGATGAGCCCCGGTACATGCTGCTGGCCAGGGAGGCTGCGATGCTGTCTAAGGGCGGCTTCGGACTGGAAAAGGACCCACAGAGATCAGGTATGACTTGGCAGACCTGCTTCTGCTGTGGAACAGGGCTGGACATGGAGGAACATATTCCTATACCACTGGGAATTATGGCAAGAGGTACCAGTGGGGGAAAGATTCATATGGACCATCTGTTTTGCCAGGCAGGATAACCATATGGTGCTGGCTTAGTAGGGGGCTTCATGGAGCTGCTGTGTAGATGAACATTCTTATTTCAGTGGTTATATATCATGGGCTTGGGTTTTGGGTGTTTTTTTTTTTAAGTAAAAAACCTGAGGACTTCCAGTCAAGATGGAGATGTAGCTGAAACAAGGTTTTCCTCCTCACACAACCTCAGCAAAAATTACAACTAGACTATGAAACAACTATTTCCCAGAATCATTAGAAAATTGAGCTGCTTGAAAGTCTAACAACCGAGGAATTAAAGAAGTCACATTCATATACATGGGTAGGAGGGGTAGAGATACAGACAAGCAGGAGATGTGGAACAGGCAGTCCCATACCCATATGTGGTAGATAAATCAGGAAAGATACCTTGAGAGTGAGCGATACCAGCCCCACACAAGACCACCCAGCCCATGGTTTCAGTGCCATGAAGATAAGTCTCCATAACTTCTGGCTTTAAAAACCAGTGAGGGTTGAGACAGCAGAAGAAACTATGGGATTCTCAAGGGTCTCCTCTTAAGGGGCCCTTAATGGGTTTAGAACTTATGCAGACTCACTTCCTTTGGGTTCCAGCACAGGGGCAGAAGCTGGAAGGGCACCAGTGGCATACAGAGAGAAATTGAGTTTGGCATCAGGACGAGTTCCAGGGGACAACTTCCTCCTGTACAAAACTCCAGAGGCCAACCAGTGGCATTGTCCCCATTCGGAGCACTCCCTCACACAGAGCCACAGAGTGGGGATAGCATGTTGGAGACTTTATCAATCTGATTGACACAAGTTTCCCTGCCCAGGCAATCACCTAAGATTCCCCCATCCAACTTACCATTGTGCTGTTCTACGGTAGGTCATGCTATTAAGATAGGGAGGGAAAGCACTCTATCTAATACATAGAAAAAAACACAAGGAGGCTGCCAAAATAAAGAGACAAATAAATAATGCCCAAATGATCAAAACTCCATAAAAAGAATTAAATGAAATGGAGATAAGCAATCTAACAGATGCAGAGTTCAAAACACTGGTTTATTAGAATTCTCAAGGAACTCACTGGGTATGTCAACAGCATAAAAAAGACCCAGGTTGAAATGAAGCCTACACTAAGTGAAATAAAGAAAAAAATTACAGGGAACCAACAGTGGAATGTATGAGGCCAAGAATCAAATCAATGATTTGGAACATAAGGAAGAAAATAATATTCAATCAGAAAACCAAGAAGAAAAAAGAATCCAAAAATATGAGGACAGTGTAAGCAGCCTCTGGGACAACTTCAAGCATTCCAACATTGCATCATAGGGGTGCCAGAAGGAGAAGAGGAAGAGCAAGAAATTAAAATTTTATTTGAACAAATAATGAAAGAAAACTTCCCTAATTTGGTGAATGAAATAGACATACAAGTCCAGGAAGCACCAAGAGTCCCAAACAAAGAGGACCACCCCAAGGCACATCATAATTAAAGTGTCGAAGGTTAGATATAAAGAGAGAATCTTAAAAGCAGCAGCAAGAGAAAAGGAGTTTCCATAAGACTATCAGCAGATTTTTTCAAAAGAATCCTTACCAGCAAGAAGGGATTGGCAGGAAGTATTCAAAGTGATGAAAAGCAAGAACCTACAACCTAGATTACTCTATACAGCAAATCTGTCATTGAGAATTGTAGGGCAGATAAAGTGTTCCCCAGACAAGGTAAAGCTAAAGGAGTTCATCATCACCAAGCCATTAATACATGAAAAGTTGAAGGGGCTTATTTAAGAAAAAGAAGATCAAAATGATGGTCATTAGTATTGTAATAAATTCACAACTATCAACAACTGAATCTGAAAAACAAAGTAAGCAAACAAGCAGAACAGGAACTGAATCATCGATATGGAGATCATTTGGAGGGTTATTAGTTGGGAGGCAGAAGAGGAAGAATGGGGGAAAAGATGCAGGGATTAAGTTCAAATTGGTAGGTACAGCATAGATAGGAGATGTTAAGAACAGTGGAGGAAATGTAGTATTTAAAGAACTTCCTGTATTTTGCCTTGAGTAATGCTCACATTTTTTGCTTAAATACTTGAGTGAAAAATAAGGATGGGCATTATGCAATGGGTAGTGCTAATTCCACACTATATTAATGGTTTTAATTCTTTTAATTATGTTTATGCATTAAAAGTATAAGTCTAACTTCTGCCAAGATGGAGGTTTAAGGTGGATGTGCCTGCCTCCTCTCACAACCAAGTTTAAGGACAACTAAATATTAGCATCAGAAAACACAACCAGAACACGGAAAACTGAACTTTTCGGAAGTCTGCAGACAACAGATTCTTCGGCCCGACCGGTAGGGGGCGAGACCGGCGGCGGGTGAGGAGTTACAAAGGAGAACTCGATCGACCCGGGCGCGGGCGCGGAATCCAGATGCGCGAATCCAGTCACACGGGTTCCAAACCCAGGATTGGACCTAGTGAGCAGCCCACCGGGTGAGCGACTACGGAGGAGTCAGTGGGGATGCAGTGGCAGCGAGTTGACTGTGGGTGCCCGGTTACGCGCGGGTGAGGGAGTGAGCGGTGGGACCGGCTGCGGCGGCGGCGGCGCCATTTTCCCCGCTCTGGCCACGCCCCCGCATACAGCGTCACAACCCAGCGACCTGGGACTCCAAGGCGCCGCTTCTCTCACTTAAAGGGCCAGAACAGACCAAAAATGTCGCAGGGGGACCTCAAAGTCCCGGAGATAAATCTAAGTGACGAAGAAATAGCAAATCTCTCAGACGCACAGTTTAAAACACTGGTCGTCAGCTTCCTCACAGATCTGGTGGACTATAGCCACAAATTAGAGAAACATATGAAGGCTAAATTAAGGGAAATGAATGGAATTCCACAGGAAACCCATAGAGATGAAAAAAAACTGGGACTCAACTCAATGGAGTGAACCAGAAGGAAGAAAAAAATGATCAATCAGAAAGGAATGGAGAAATAAGAATTCAGAAAAATGAGGAGAAGCTTAGGAACTTCCAGGACATCTATAAACGCTCCAATATCCGAATTATAGGGGTACCAGAAGGGGGAAAGACACAACCACCAGTGGAAAAACTATTTGAACAAATAATAAAAGAAAATTTCCCCAATCTGGCAAAGGAAACAGTCTTCCAAGAAATCCAAGAAGCCCAGAGAGTACCAAAAAAGTTGGACTCAAGAAGAAACACACCAAGGCATATCATAATTACATTAGCCAAAATTAAAACGAAGGAGAGAATCCTGGAAGCAGCGAGAGCTAAGGGGACAATCACCTACAAAGGAGTCCCCATCAGGCTGTCAGCAGATTTCTCAAAAGAGACCTTACAGGCAAGAAGGGGCTGGAAAGAAATATTCCAAGTCATGAAAACTAAAGACCTACAACCAAGATTGCTCTACCCAGCAAAACTTTCATTTAGAACGGAAGGACAGATAAGGTGCTTCTCAGATAAGACCAAATTCAAGGAGTTCATCATCACCAAGCCCTTATTATATGAAATGTTGGAGGGACTTATCTAAGAAAAAGAAGTTAAAGAAACATGAACAGTGAAAGGACAACAAGCTCACAGTTATTAACAACCACACCTGGAGCGAAAGCAAACTAAAAGGACAGCTAGATCAGGAGTGGAAACATAGAAATGAAGATCTCAAGTAGGGTTAGCAACAGGGGAGTGGGAGTAGAAGACGGGGAGAGAAGGTACAGAAAACAGGTAGCATAGACAGTAGATAGAAAATAGATGGGGGGGGGGCAAGAATAGTATGGGAAATACAGAACCTAAAGGACTTGAGACACATGGACATAAGCTAAAGGGGGGGTAATGGGGGGGTTGGGGGGGCAGGGTGGAGGGGAATGAAGGGGGGAATAGAACAACTGTAACAGCATAAACAATTCAAAAAAAATAAATTTATTTAATTTAAAAAAAAGAAATACCTCAAATATGTATCATATACATAAGTGCTCAGTTCCATCCCAAGAAATGGCAAATTAGCAATTTCTATACAACTTCTGAATGGAGCTCAGACAATCCTGGAGCAAGAGTAGACAATCCACAGCTGTTGCTGAAGTTTCTACCATTCACCTACCACAGGGACCTGAGAAAATGTTTCCCACTTTTCTGCCCATAGCAAACATTGTTTGGCCACACCAACAGCCTTTGAACCTAAGAGAGATTAATAAATCACCAGACAACAGTGTCTCCCAGTCCATTTTCTCAAAACTTTAAAGAATCCTCCATGGGGAGAAGGGAGAGCTCCATCAAACAAGTTTAAAAACCACTGAATTAAACAGATTCTCTGGGGATTAATAAGTACAAACTGGTAGCCACAAAACAGTCATAGGGATGTAAAATACAGCACAGGGAATATAGCCAGTAATACTGTAATAACTATGTATGGTGCCAGGTGGGTATTGAAATTTGGGGGGATCACTTTGTATCAATAAACTATGATTGTCTAACCACTATACTGTACACCTGAAACTAATATAAAATGCTGAGTATCTACTGTAATTGAAAAATAAAAATTTTTTTTTAAATTCTAAAAAAAAAAAAAGTATAAGTCTAGAAAGCAATAACAATATCCATATGTTCAAAAATAAATGCTAAAATGTTTTTATATACAAAAACCAAGTATCTAAATATAAACACATACTAATTGAATTAAAAAAGTAAATGAAGTTTTTTTTCTTGAAAGTATGGGCCAAAAACGTGGGTGTGTATTATACATGGCAAAGTGCAGTCTATGCATTACCCATGGATGTGAACTAATTGGAGGATTGCTGAAGGGAATAGGGGGTACTGGGTAGAGGAAGGCAAAGGGGGGGAAATTAGGGCAACTGTAATAGCATAATCAATAAAATATATTTTA